CCTAAAATCCTTATAAGAAATGAAAGAAAATGTCTCACAAACACAATCGCAAAATACACCTATACAAGTATCTACTATATACAAGGTACAAGAATTCAAAATATACAAGGTATGTACAATAGAGACTATGAGACTAAAAAAAGGAATCATACTCAATGTTCATATTGAGCATAGGTCTAAGAAGCACCTCTTATGTAGAAGTTTCCTCTAACCTCCTAACCATGTGATGGCATCCTTACTAGCATTGGTGGAGAGATGATGACCAATGTGAAGGAAGCCTTGGCTCCTTTGATCAAGTTCTTAAAGATTGACATCTTTGATGGAGGAAACTGACAAAAATGGAGAGTGGAGGTTAAGTGTTTGATAAAAGGTTTGAGAGGACACAGTAGGGTTTGGCTCACTCCATGGATGATGAGGGCCACTTCTAGGGTTTTCTCTCAAGGTGAAGATAGGTAGGGTTTGGTTGAATATTAGCCAAGAGTGACTAAGGAAAATATAAAGGCTCAAAGGCTCTCTCTATATTAATTTTCAAAGTATTTACAAGGAGGCTAGCCTAGGGTATTTATAGAAGGGAGGATGCATTTATGGTTACATTTGAGAGTGCATGGCCAAGTAATGCAAGCCAAATGCACTTCAGATGAAACCTAAATTAACCCTAGATGCTACTTGGTGACTAAGAATGGAATCTTTGGATTTGATTAAGCTACATCTAGGTGCATGATAAGACCATGCAACCTAGGTGCCCTCCACTTGGGCCTAAGCTTTGCCAAGTCCAAAAATAAATCTAATGCCACCAAAAAACATGTAAGGCCTAGTTTCGAACCTTAATAAAACACCTAGCTATAAAATAAAATCCTATAATCTAAGACACCCCATAATACAAGGGTAAAATGGGAAATACAAATAAAAATAAATCCCATGATTAAGACACCCCAAAATACAAGGGTAAAATAGGAATTACAAGTAAAATAAATCTTATGTCTAAGGTACCCAAAATATAAGGGTAAAATAGGAAATTAAAGACAAGGGTAAAATAGGAATAATAAATTTAATGCTAACAAGGCTTATGAGAATGATTAATATCCATAAGAAGCATGTCTCTAAGGTGTTAGCTCCCCTATCCTCTTCCAATCTCCTAGCCATGGACCTAGTAATGGGTCCCACATAAAGCTCCAAGGATGGTCCTCTATCACTATGGACCTAGTTAAAGGCCAAATGGTCTTCAAGTGTGAGCTCTCCTATGGATCATCCTTCACCCTTCTTGGTCTCAAACTCTCAATTTTATGGACTTAGGTTTAGGGAGCGTGATTGAAGACTCAACAAGATGCGCAACATCTAAATTTTTTTTCTTCTAATTTTGATTTTTTTAAAACTCAAAACGACGTTGTTTTGAATTATTATTCTTTTAAAAAAAAAGTGATGACCTGACCTAGGTCATGAAACCCGACGAGTTGATGGTTCAACTAGGAATTTGACCGAGTCTCACCAAGTCACACCAAGTCAGGTGCATATCTAATTTGATTAAAGGTTTAGATCGGCCAAATCATCAATTCATGGTTCAATTGGTCTAATTGATCAGTTCCAGCTAATTTTTAAAAACTATGGGAAAAAGTGCCCCACATTCTCACACCTGGCATGGCAACATCCACGTCTGACCTCGATCAAGTAGAGAGATCACTGCCTGACTCATGTTTGACGCCACACACTTCAGCGCCTACTGTGAACTCAAGCAAAGACGAGTCTTTCTCCTCACACCCAACGTCATTCAACCCACGCTCAACGAGGTTCCAACCTGAGATGAGTCTCTCTCCTCACACCTGACATCACCAATCATGTGCCCAACATGAAAGAGATAAATACCTCTCCTCTAGAACTACATTCAACGGCTTGAAGGCACGCCTCACACAATATCAGATTCTACAGCTGTGTAGAACCCGATTTCACCTAATTTCTTGAAAACCAAAAAATTCCAACAACATGGAACACAATAATTTGCATATATACAACATATACAACATGATTTTCCATAAAAAACAACATCCAATTGAATACTTGAAGCACATCTTCCAACAACTAGTACAACTTACAACATGTATATAAATCTCTATATAACAACTTCAATCATAATGTAAAAACTTCAAACATCCTCATAACATCATCATCCATATCAACAATTCATCCCATAATAACTTAGGATATCATTATCATATATTACCATATGCTATAATAGAATTAACACATCATTCTCAACATGTGATCATCAATTAGCATACAATATCAACTTCCACATAACACAACACAATTAGAGTTACACTATTGTTATCAAACTCATCTTTATCTCATATGAAATATAAGAAGAGTTTTTACAAATTTCATGAAGAACTCATGTTCTAATTCCATCATCTACCATATTAAAAATTGAAAAAATCGTAATAGTTTGTCTAATTGATGATAGTTTTACCTTTGTTCACTAAAAAGGTCATAACTGGAGTTTTAGATCTCATTTTTAGGCTATTTAAAATTCATTAGAAAGATAATATTCAAGACTATAACTTTTATGAAGACCTCAAGACCAAATTCGGTCATTTACCGCCACTGCTATAGTGCTCAATTCATCGCTTCAATGCTGAATTTTTGCCAACCTAGTTTTTTTCTCATACCTACTGCGTTGGATCTCTACCATCCTAGTTTTTCCCATGGCTGCAGAACTCAACTACAACTACAACACTCAACTGAAATTCTAGTGCTAGATCTCAACCATCCAATTTTTCCCTATGGCTGCAATGCTCAACTGCGGCTACAACATTAGGTGCAATATATTTTTGCATATTAATGGTTTTCCCTTTTATATCTTACTTACACTTCATAGTTTTTCTTCCTAAACATCACCTACAACACCATTTTCATTGATTTACCCACACCAAATTGAAATACACTCAAATTTACACATCTAGTTCATGACTTTTGCATCCAAACCCCAACTTCAACATGCAACAAATTCAAAAGCAGCCACTATAATGAAAACCATCACCTCTTTTTGTGCCCATACTGAAACCCTTAGAGTTAAGGAGAAATAAAGGTGGTCATAGGGGAAAACATGGATTAATGGCAGAAGCTATCAGAGGAGCATTATTTCTCGAGAATCATCATTCCAAGTTGGGGAAAAGGAATTATCAAGTCCTAAGCATGTATGAGAGATAAGGGTAGCAACGCCAACGAAAATGATGGTCAGGGATGGATGAAAGGAATATGGAACTACTTAAAGGAAGGTAATCTACCCGAGGACAAAGATGAAGCACGGAAGATGAGGGTAAGGTCGGCTAAGTTCGTCATCATTGGAGATGAGCTATTCAAATGTGGCATCTCCACCCCTTTGCTGAAATGCCTAGCAGAGTCCCAAGCCATCTACATCGTTGAAGAGATCCATTGAGGGATATGTGGGATGCATTTCGGGGCACGCTTGATGGCGACCAGGGTACTCCGAGTTGGGTACTACTAGCCCACATTGAAGTCGAATTGCCAAGCCTATGTACAAAGGTGCAAGGAATGTCAGCAGTTCGGTAACGCACATCGAAAACCGCTTGAAATCCTCTATCAGATGATGTCACCATGGCCTTTTGCCTAGTGGGGAATGGACATCCTCGAACCATTTCCCCCTGCGGAAGGTCAACTCAAATTCCTCCTAGTGATAATCGACTACTTCACCAAGTGGATCGAGGCATGCCCACTCGCAAAGATCACCGTCGAGAATGTGCAGAAGTTCACCTGGAAGAGCATCATTTGCAGGTTTGGCATCCCACATTCCCTCGTCACCGATAACGACAAACAATTCATCGCGCAGAGCTTCGTGAACTTCCTCCGAGAGCTCGGAATCAAGCACGTTCCAACCTCGGTGGAGCATTCTCAAACCAATGGCCAAGCTGAAGTTGAGAACAAAGTAATACTCCGGGAACTCAAGAAGCGGCTAGGAAGCGCCAAAGGACAATGGGTCGACGAGCTCCCCAGCATTCTCTGGGCATACCAATGTACCCCCCAATCAACAACGCAGGAAACTCCTTACAGGCTTACCTACGGGACCGACGCCATGATCCCAGTAGAGGTCGGTGAAATGTCTCATCGACGTCATGTCTTCGATAGTGAGCAAAACGCTCAAGCGACGACAATTAACCTCGACCTGATTGACGAGCTCAGAGAAGAGGCTCGGATTCACGAAGAAGCTTGCAAACTTCAAGCCTCCAGAAGATACAATACACGAGTCTAACCTCGCTCTTTCCGTGTCGGCGTCCTGGTGTGGCGGCTCAAGGTGAAGCACGGAGAGACCCATCAGAAGGGAAACTCGCACCTAACTGGGATGACCCATTTCGAGTTACAAAAGACTTAGAAAATGGGGCATACCGACTAGAAGAGCTTAGCGGCAAAGCCATCCCACGAACTTGGAATGCCACGTATCTAAAGTTTTACTTCAGTTGAAATGTACAAATGGGTTGTGCACTTTTTTCCCGACTCAATCTTTTGTCCCAAAAAATAGAAAAATGGGTTTTGGCTGAGAGGGTTTTTAACGAGACATACCCACAACATTAATAAATATGACTCATTCGACTCATATCTTCTTAATTTTACACCGTATTGGCAAGAATTATATTACGTTAAGCCAAGGTCGAATCCGAACCTTGGTACGAATTACACTATGTTAAGCCAAGGTCGAATTCGAACCTTGGTACGAATTATATTATGTTGAGCCAAGGTCGAGTTCGAACCTTGGCACGAACTATACTATGTTAAGCCAAGGTCAAATTCGAACCTTGGTACGAGTTATATATCATGTTAAGCCAAGGTAGAATTCGAACCTTGGTACGAGTTATATATCATGTTAAACCAAGGTAGAATTCGAACCTTCGTGCGAATTATATCATGTTAAGCCCAGGTCAAATTCGAACCTTGGCGCGAGCTATATTATTACAAGCCAAGGCCGAATTCGAACCTTGGTGCGAGTTATATTACTCAAACTCAAGAAAATGGCTCTTATAGTAAGTCTGGACGTGGAAGCTTGAAATTTATTTGTTATATAATTGACTTTATTGATATATAAATTTGAGCATGGAGATACTTACATGATGTGTTAATAGATTGGAAGTCTTTCATTATGAATTTGTGACTGCAAGGTGAAAATGGGATGTTATTATTTGCACCTATTCATTTAATCATTCTTTTATATTTTTAGATTATCGCAGAGAGCTTATCTGAAGAAGAAATAGCTGGCTTAAAAGAAATGTTCAATATGATAGATGCAGACAAGAGTGGTCAAATCACTTTTGAGGAACTTAAAGCTGTATATCAATTTTCCCTCTAAAATTGTTTTGGAAAGAGTTTTGAGTAGAACCCTCTAGTGTTGATGGCGTTTCACTAGTTGCCATACCTAATATTTAAATATCACGCAATAACAACAAACAAAAAAAATATTGTAAATTAAATCAACCAAAACTAATATACTAGTGAGCAGCCAAAGAGTAGCTAACAATAATATCATGCTAAAATAATCAAATTATAGCTTCAAATAACAGGTAACAATAACATAATGTTAAAACAACCAAATTATAGAGTCAAAGAGCAGCTAACATAATGTTAAAGCAACCAAATTACATAGACAAAGAAAAAAGCTAACATATAATTATATTTTGACCATCCAAGGTGGTCTAGAAACTTGTGGAGCAAGCTTCTCACTTAGCTTGCTTGGGAAGCAAGCTAAAGAGAAGCTTGTGGCACAAGTTTCTCAACCCTAAGTGATTAACAATTTCGGCCAAGAAGGAGAAGTACATCACTATTGTGTATATATAATATGTATATCATGTGTGTATATAACTACGTATATCTCTTTATATATGGGTGTACACAAACTTAAAATATGTTGTCACGTATTTTAGTGATATTGGTCACTTCAAGCAACAATATGACTCAATTTGTCCCCATACTGTATAAACTAAACTAAGAATCTAGAGGAGTCATCTTACAAAACTCTTCACTTCAGGGACCACTTGTCTACCCGAAGGGTTTTTCATCCATGATCTCTTAAAGAACCGTATCTTAGATCCTTAAGAATAGTGTTATCACATGTCTCAGGTTATTTTTAATTTTGATTGTATAATTTTCATATAAGAAAAAGGACTCT